ATGTAAAGAGCTGACTCTTTGGAAAAGCCCCTGATGCTGGGAAAGACTGAAGGCAGGAGGAGAAGAGGGCGACAGAGGATGAGATGGTTGGATGGCATCACTGACTCGATCGATGGACATGAGTTTGAGCAAGCTCTGGGAGTTGGTGATGGACAGGGAAGCCTGGCGTGCTGCAGTCCATGGGGTCCCAGAGTCAGACACAACTAAGCAACTGAACAACAACATTTACAGAGGGGTGAATAGGGTACTGGGGACACCTCAGGCACTGCAGTCTCACCAGCAGGACACAGTGGGTGCTGATCCCCAGGCTTAAGAACCCGGATGGACTGAGCTGTCCTACAGGAAGAGCTGTCACTCAGAGCAGCTTCAGTCACAATCACCATGAGCTGGGGGTGCCCAGGTGCCCACCAACAGCTGAAGGGTAAACAGAGCAGTCTGTGCACACAGTGGGATGTACTTCAGCCTTAAGGAAGGAGGCTGTGACACCTGCTACACCATAGAGGGGACTTGAGGACACTGTGCTCAGTGAAATAAGCCAGACACAGAAGGATGTGTATTGTGTGATTCTGCATGTAAGAGGTCCCTGGAGGAGTCAGAGTCATAGAGACAGGAAGTAGAAGGGTGATATCAGGGGCTGGGGGGTTTCGTGTTGGTGAGGGCGGTGTTTCAGTCTTGTAAGACGCAGAGTTCTGGAGATGCTCACATGGTGGTATGAATGTGTATGTGTCTGTGTGTGATAGTCACTCAGTCATGTCTGACTCCTGCAACCCCACAGACTGCAGCCCACTAGGATCCTCTGTCCATGGAGTTCTCCAGGCAAGAATACTGGAGGGTACTTAGTGGTACTGAACTGCATACTTAGAAACGATTAAGATGGTGAGTGGGATTTTTAAATCACAGTTTTTTAAAAGCTGGAGACTGGGGGACATCTGCAGCTGCTCTGGGCAGGGCCATGTGTCTGGACCCCTGCTCGGACCCCCAAAGGCCGCTTCTCACTTAAAACATTCACTGCTACAAGGCACTGGTTCTGGTTCCTGGAGATTTGAGTGGACAGTTCGGGCTCAGATTCCCAGTGCCTTTAATCACACATGGCCAATCCTACTCTTAACCTGGGAGGAGGGACAGAGAAATAAGGCCAGCAAGCAGGGTGCTGTGTGTCTAACTGCCATGAACCTCCTCCAGCCACATACCACCCTCCGGTTACAGGAACCATGCCTGGGATGCAGGTGACAGGCCCAGCATCACCCTGGTGTCAAGCTGGATTTGCTGGCGCTGGCGCTGTGGGACACCAGACCCCTGCCTTCTGTCTGTAGAGTCTCGGACCCTTCAAAGCCTGGGTCAGCAGGTGTGGGCTCATTAGAGCCTAGCCAGGCAGGCAGCCAGTTGCCCAAAGAGGCCCCTTGGGGACCTGCTGGGTCTATAAATACCTGTTAGAGGAAGTGAGTGTGTTTAGGGGGAGGGAAAGGAGAAGGGGAGGCCCCGAGGGGCCTGAGAAGCTGGGGGACTTGGTGGAAAAGAACTTGGTGAATTTCCATGCTCTCTCAGCCCCAGGAGCAGCACAGAGAGACCACAAGGGGAAATGAGACCAGCTGCCAGCCATTGAGTCCCTCCTGCACCCACAAATGAGGACTGGCTCAGAGCTGGGCTGTGGGTGACACATGGGGATGTGACGTGGTCCAGGGCAGAGGCTGAGCAGCACCATGGGGGCCGGACAGGGCCACGCTTCACTGAGGGGACACAGAGGGAACCCAAAGCCTCTGTCTCCCAGCCACTGCCAACCTTGACTGAGTGGGCTCGAGTGGCAGCTAGAGGAGAGGGCTCTAGAAAGTTCTGGGGGGGCTGGTGCATGGTCTCTGCCTATAACTGCAGGTGGGACTCAGGGCAGAGGCTCTCCTGGTGGCCTCGGCTCCTTCTTGGACTGGGTGGCTTGGACTGGGCTGGGGCATGGTGTCTGTCCAGGCTGCCCTGAGCTCTGGCCCCACTGCACATGGCCTGAATCACAACAGGGTTTGCATTTGCTCAGCCTGGCAAGTCCCAGATCCTCTGGGGAGGAGTGATCCAAGTGACCACCGCTGGGAAAGTATGCATCGGTCCTTAGAGTTGGGGGCCCTGCACTGAATTTAATAGGAAGGCAGGACTCATTGGTAATTAGCCTGTAATTATCCTTTTAAATAGAACAAACATTTTCCTTGCAATCTTACTTATACGACTCATTTGTTTAACAGACTTCATAGGCAATAAGAGCTCAGGCTCTGGTGTCTGGGTTCTGGGTCTGAACTCTAGCTTATTTCTTTAGCATTCTGTCATGCAGGGCACCCAATTTTTCTTGTCTGTGGAGCAGAGGTGACATTCCCTGTCTGTGTCGGGCAAGTATGTATTCAGTGCAGGTAACAGGAAGCCCAGCTTACAAACGAGGACTGTCAGCACAGAGCCAGGGTCTGGGTGCTCCATCTCTCCGCTCTCTCCTCCTTTGTATGTTGTGTTCATCCTCACACTTGTCACCTCATTGTCACAAGATGGCTGCTGCCCTTCCAGACATCACATATGAGTTCAAGGCAGGAGAAAGGAGAAGGGCTTTGCTACATGCTTCTATTCTTTTTAGCAGGAAGGCACACATTCTCGCTAGAGTCTCACTGGCCCCCCCTGCTGGCAGACTTCAGCTCTGACATACCGGCCAGAGGTGAGCAACACCATCACAGGGAGGTATAAGATGGGCTGGAGAGATGGGAGGGGGACAGACACCATCTCCGGGTCTTATGAGTCCCAGGGTCTCACCCAGGGCTGGCATTGGTACCAAGGAAAACCAGGAGGCCGGGTGTTGCTCGAGCAGCGTGCCTACCTCACTCCTGAGTGTGGACAAGTTTCTGCCCAAGCTCTCAGAGCAGGAGCTGGCGCTGAGAAATGGCCTGTTACGGTTCACACGTAAGTACTCTTCCTGTGCAGGGACTGACCGGCAACCCTCCAGCCCAGGATGCCTTCAGGGGAGCTGGTGTGCCCGCTCCTTGAGGAGGAGACCCTGTGCTCCAAGAAGGCAGGAGGAGGCGCCTTCACTGGCCAGTGTCCTCCAGCGGGGTGTCCCAGGTCTTGCCTGGGGGTGAGGGGACTGAAGTTTCAGTCCACGATGCCCTTGAGTGCCTCCGAGGAAGGGATTCCTGATTCTACCTGGAGAAAGAGTGGCAGAGGTTCTAGTGGGAAGGGAGAGTAACACCCCTCGTTTTTTTGGCTCTCAGTTCCACCCCCCACAGAGGATGAGGCCCGGGGCCTGGAGGTCTGTGTATGGTTCATCCCTGCTCACTGCCCGAGCTCTGCAGAGTCCCCTCGTCACGGGGTCCTGCAGCCACCCTGGCCCGTCCTGTCCTGTCACTGTCCTCACACCACGGCCGATCGGCAGGCCAGTCGCCCTTGATGGGGAGGGTGCCGTGGCACATCCCTGGTGGGTAGGGGGGAGGCCTGGGGGGGTGGCCATGCAGCTCCTCTGCCTGCCCGGAGCATCAGCAGCTGTGTGGGAGCCACACGTGAACAAGCATAGGCAGCTATTGGTGCCAGGGGAGCCTCTTGGCAATTTTGGGAAGTGCAGCTAGAGGCTCATCCCTCTTAGCTTAAGCTGTGTCCTCATTTCCCCCGAGCGGGAGGGGGAGAGTGCGGGGGTGGGAGGCAGAGGGTAGCGAGAGGGGGGCGCCCAGGGCTACTGCAGCCAGGTGTTTGCAGGCTCACTCGACCGTGACCACCGGCCTCTGGGTCCCGTGCTCTCTGTCCTTCTGGCTCACTGCCTTGATCTCTCCTTTCGTGGGGCCTCCTGCTCCCCTGGGGGCTTCCCAGATGGCACAGTGGTAAAGAACCTGCCCGCCAATGCAGGAGACATAAGAGACACAGGTTCGATCCCTGGGTTGGGAAGATCCCCTGGAGGAGAGCATGGCAACCCACTCCAGTATTCTTGCCTGGAGAATCCCATGGACAGAGGAGCCTGGCGGGCTGCAGTCCATGGTGTTGCAAAGAGCCGGACACGACTAAGCAACTTACTGTGCATACATGCCTGGTCCCCTGGAGAAGCCACATCCCATGCTACTTTGTCTGTGAGCCATCCGGGACCCTTCCCACTTTCCCCATCTGTTACCCCTGCGTCCCCACACCCCATCCATTTCTCATTTTCTCTTCTTGTCAGGACCCAGCAAACCCTCCTGCCATACACCGGCTCTGTGGGGGCTGGGAGCTTGGAGCCACGAGGATAGCAGGGCTCCCTCGGCGTGGAGGAAGCCCACAGGCTGCCAAGGAGGCGGACACACGAGAAACTTCTGACCCGAGGGGAGTGTGGCTGTCTGGACATCACTCTCATCTCTCTCATCAGTTACCCATCTTCACTTCTCTGAGGAATCCTGTTTGCTTTGTTCACTATTTCTGGCACTGGATCAGTACAGGCATATAGCAAGTGCCCAATCAATGCTCCTGGAGTAGAAGAAATCTGGTTGCAGATCAGAGCCCTGCAGGGAGCCTGCCGGATATGCAGGTCCCTAGGCTGCGTCCCAGGCCTGTGGGTCCAGGTCTCTGCCTGGCGGTCCCGGCACCTGGAGCACCCCCTTGGCAGTGCTGCCCTCCGCAGAGGGAAGGACGGGTCAGTCTGGGAACCAAGTTCTGAGCAGCCGCCCAGAGTGAGGGCAGAGGTTCCCTGGACCGGGCACTTCCACCCCCAGTAGCACCGTCCAGTGCGACACAGGAGTGACTAGAGGGAGCGTGCAGACTGAAGGGCTGTGGGGACAAACAGTTGACTGGAAACGGCAGATTCCCTGTGCAGACGGCGAAGGATGAAAAGTGTAAACAGTTCTTGTGGGAAGAAAGGATTTGTAACATGATTGTACTGACGTAAATTAAAAATACACACCCTGGGCTTGGCAAGGATTTCTTAAAACATAAAAAAGCACTAAGTTGTAAGAGAAAATTTAATAACTTGGGGTTCTTTAAGATTAAGAGCATTTATAATTGTGTCAAAATGCACCATTAGAAGATCAAAAGGCAATGGTCTGAGAAGGCGTCTCTCTCTCCAGCAGAAGACTCCACGGGGACGCAAATAGGATGGGGACAAACCCACAATGAAAAGAGGGCAAGAAAGTGCTGGAGGGTGGCCCCAAGACCACGTGTGCACGGCCAGGACCACATGTGCAGAATCTGTGCTCCACACCTGGAGTTACCTGGGAAGCACAGGCTAGACCACCAGACACCATGCACGTCAGAGGGGACGGGTTAGAACTGGAGGGACTGCTGTTGAGGACAGGGGTCACAGGGACACCATCGGCAGCCTGTCGCGGCGGGGGCTGCTTCCCGGTGATCCCTCCGCTCTCAGGAACAAGCCCAGACCTGCACCGGAGCCACGCACATAAGTGCTCACAGCAGCGCAGCCGGACGCCCTCGAAGGCCCACCCCAGGTCCAGCAGTTCAGAGGCCCTCGAAACCAACCTCTCAGACAAGAAGCGAGCGTGGAGTGGAGCACGGGAGCTGGGGAAGGCCACCAGGACCATGGGCTACGTGACCCATTTGTGTGAAATTCGGGAGAGAAACACAGCAGTGAGGGTTGAATGGTGCCCCCCACCCAGGTCTGAAAGCCGAGGTCCTAACCCCCAGGACCTGCGGACGTGACCTCACTTGGAGTTCGTGGAGCAGCATGGGCCCTCATCCTCCACGACAGATGTCCTTCTGGAGGGGACACTGGGGCAGAGGCATGGGGAGGGGGAACACCATGTGAGGGGGAAGCAGAGCCCAGGTGGTGCCTCTGAGCCCTGAGAAGCCCCCCTCCCATTCTCCCCCAACTCCCGTCGATGGCCGGAAGCCACTGGGGGTGAGTAGAGGTGTGAACCAGTTGTCCCTCAGAAGGAGCCAGAGCTGCTGGCATCTTAGCCTGACTTCCGGCCTCCAGACCCCAGACAATCCATCCCTGTTCTTAATCCTGGGGCACTTTGCCATGCACTCCAGGAGCCAGTCCAGTGCCGGGTTCTGAACCCCCTTCTAGTCCTGGGCTTCCACTCCCAACCCTCTGGCCTCAAGGAAAACCTCCCCACCATGAGGGAAGGGACTGGAGCTGAAAGGGGCTTCCAGAGTGGGTTTTGGAAGGGGTGTGGGATGACTGTGGGGTGTCCCCCTGGGCAGTGGGGTCAGACTACAGGGATCACTGCTCGGGGAGGCGCAGGAGATTCAGCCAAGGGTAGGATGGGCAGTTAGGAAGGATGCCAGTGGGTTGATGGGCATGCACGCAAACATGGTGGGCATGTTTGTGGCATGTGTGTGCACGTGCATGTGTGTACTTGTGCGTGCACATGTGTGCATGTGTGTGCATATGTGTACGTCCTGAGGAGACTGAGAAGCTACAGGGAAACACAGGAAGGGCCCCAGCTGGGGAACTGGTCCCTGTTGACCCCAGGCCCCTCCTCCCTTCCCTCCCGGGCTTTTGGGAACCTTCCTTAATTAATGCCTGTAAGATGCTCTCATATGCTAGAAGCAGCAGTAGCAGCTTTATAAATAACACTGACTTCTGAAGGTTGACTAATGCCCGCACCCTTGGGTGCGGGGAGAGCATGGGGCTGGGGGAGGGGTGGCAGAGGAGGTCCCCAGAGCATGAAGTGGCATCCCGGACAAGGTCGGGACTCCTCCTGGGGATGTGTCCCTAGCGATAAAATCAAGACTGGATGTTTATCTTCACAAGGTCCTCTCTCTTCTTTCCCATCCAGCCTTTGGCCAGGGTTGCAAAGCGGCCCCCAGCTCAGCTCCAGGGCCTTTGGGAGAAGCAGGCAGGGCCTTGTGGCTGGCCTGGTCCACACACGACCTGGCCGCTCCTTGAGGGCGGCCGGGAAAAGGCCCGTGACCCGCCCAGTGACCCCTCAGAGGTAATACCGGCAGCAAAGCCACTGGTCTTTGAGTGTCCTTCAAAGACCCCTGTCCCGGGGCAGAGGCAGAGGCGGTGGGGGCCGTGTCACAACCAGCACCCTGGTCAGCTTGGGGCTGACCTTTCCTGAACTTACATCTTCACCAGAAAGGAAGGCCCTCGGAGGACACAGGGGGCAGGCGGGCAGGGCTGGACGAGGCCACGTTTGGTTCAAACCCTCACTGACCGGGATGCTGTGGCTGGGGGCCTGGGTCAGTTTCACCCAGAGATGAGCAGACGAACCACAGAGCCAGGCCTGGGCTCAGCCTCCTGACCTGAGGGGCTGCTCACTCGCAGCCCCAAGCCTCCTGGGTGACCGGCGCGTGTTCACGGCCGTGTGGGCAGAGACCATCCATCCCATGAGCCTAGGACGCCCACGTCTGGCCTCTGTCTGGACGCTGACGGACACGGATCGACAACAGAGAGGACTGAGGTCTGCGACCCTTGGCCTCAGCTCAGAAAGGACCTCTGTCCGCCGCAAACTCCCACTCCCCAAAGTCTGGGGGCTAAACCTGTCATGCTGTGGACATGATGACTCTGCTCCCTGGGGGAGCGGGGAGGGAAGTCCCCCAGGACCCGTGAGTTCTGAACCGACACTCATGCACCAAGTGGCCACAGTGGCGCCTGGATGCTGGGTCGCTGGGCCAGGAACAGCAGAGCTCGCCCCAGGGTGTTGGTTACCTTCTGTTACCAAGCCCACCCCCGTAGTTTCTCAGTGGGGATGCTGATGTCCAGAGCAGAGTGAGGTCTGTAGACGGTTGACAGCCCAGTGCCTCCGAGAAGTGGGTCTCCCAGGCTCTGCTCCATCCTCTGCCGCCCAGCTCTGGGCACTCACATTGGGCAGGGCCCTGATGGTGTCTGGGCCTGGGCAGTGGGGAGTGGTGGGGGTGGTCCCAGGGCTCTTGCTGCCCCATTTCTACCAATTAAATCTGGTACCCACTGGCGGGGCCACTTCAAAGTGGTTGCTTGTCCCTCAGGAGGACCCTGGGGACCCTGAGTGGGCAGCGTGCTTGCCAGGGGCCTGTCCAGGAAACACACGGGGACATAGCCCCTCTGCCCAAGGAGGCGGGGGCCCACCCAGGAAACACTGCTCTGCTCCAGTGGCGACTTCACTGTCCCCCTTGGCAGACACACAGAGACGGCTTATCCGGGGCTCCCGGTTAAGGGAGGATACAGGGCTGGGAGGAGAGATCTCCTGGAACCCCCGGGCTCACCATCACAGGACACATGGAGTCTGGCCACCTGGCTACTGGGTGGCGCCCTGGTCCTCAGAACATCATCCCAACCTAGGCATCGAGTTATGTCTTCCAGGGTCGCGTGCGGGCTCAGCTAGCTGGGACCTCGTCTTCCAGACCTGAGAGGTCCCGCCGCCCCCTTGCATGTCCATCCAGCGCCTGCTAATCTCGGGGAAGCCCACCTTGATTTGCCCCAGGTGGCTGCTGCAGCCTCTGGCTCACAACTGCAGGCTCCCACCCCTCTCAGCATCCAGAACATTCTCTCCTCCCTCCCACAGTGCTCCAGTTAACTTCCCCAGAGGGCCGGCTGCATGGTGATCACAGCTGCCGCCACGGGGCTGGTCGTCCGTGCGTGGCTCTCAGCCTACCCGTGGTGTTTCAGGACCACAGTCTGCACAGTTTTTATTTGTGTGCTTTTCGCAAGGCTCTGTTGGGAGGCATTACTCATAACTCAGTTTGGTGAAAATCTATCTGGATACTCACGCTTGAGGTAAATATACCAAGTGTTTGTAATCACCTCTCTCACCCACCCCCCCGCCACAATTGTAAGTGGAAATCAAAAAGAAGTTTCTGAGCATCAGAAACCAGAAAACCAGGCACTCAGCAAATGCTGGGGACCCACCCCCCCCCTGTGCAGCCAGGCGATTCCACGAAGTAGAGCTGCTGAGCCTGCTGGCTGCTGACAACACAAGACTGCGGAGACGGCTCTGTGCGCTAAGGCCGAGGACGCATCCGGCTTCTCTGAAGAGAAGGTGGTGGCATAGGTCTGCATGGAGTGTGTGCACCTGCTCACTCACTCAGGACCCAGGGGGCAGGTGTGTCTGACTCTTTGCAACCCTACGAGCTGTAGCCCACCAGGCTCCTCTGTCCATGGGGTTTTCCAGGCAAGAATACTGGAGTGGGTTGCCATTTCCTTTCCCGGGGGCTCTTTCCAGACCAGGGATTGAGCTCAGGTCTGCTGCATTGGCAGGCATCAGATCTTTTAATCACTGAGCCGCTTGGGAAGCCCTCTGAACAGAGCAGGCAGGTGGAAAGGCAGGCGGCTGCTCTGCTGGTGGGAGCGAGCAGCTGGGTTGTGGAGACGACACTGCACATTCGCCAGTCAGTTCTGGGCTCCCCCTCCCGCCTGTGTCTGGGTGACATCCGGCCAGACCACCTGCACACTGGCGTTGAGGCCTGAACCTGACGTGACAGCACCTGCCCGGGGGGCTCCGCACCAGGGACACTGGCCTTCATGGTGTGGGCCGATGTGTCCTCTGGCTGGGCCGGCCTGTGGCTGGATCTTCCTAGGCAGGACACACGTCCTCCTGCCTGTCCTGGGACAGGACCCGCAGGCTGTGACCAGTGTCTGAGGGAAACGCGGTCACCCGGTACCAGGGATGTGGCCCCTGGCCTGGAGTCCCTGCCGGTGCCGGGGGGTCATGCAGAGGTGGCCCGGTTCTCCAGTCCTCGCAGGGCCAGGCTCGGGACGTTCCTGAGGATGCTGATGAACGGGGAGAGCAGAGTGAGGTCTCTGCAAAGACGGTCCAGGAAAGGAGATCCCTTCAGCGTCTCCTCCTCCAGCCTCACAATGAGGGTTTCCCTGGTGGCTCGGACGGTAAAGAATCTGTCTGCAATGCAGGAGACCCAGGTTTGATCCCTGGCTCGGGAAGATCCTCTGGAGAAGGGAATGGCAACCCACTCCAGTAATCGTGAATGGAGAATCCCATGGACAGAGGAGCCAGGAGGCTACAGTCCATGGCATCACGGAGTCGGACATGACTGAGCAACTGACACCTTCTTTTTCTTCTGGCCTCGCGATGAGGGTAGGGTGGTGGCAGCAGCAGCAGCTGGGTCGCGGGGACGGGGTGCTGTTCCTTGAAGGTCAGGGCTTCTCCTCTGAAGAGAAGGGGTGAGTGGAACTGTCCCCCATCATCCACAGAGGAGGAGGGGAGAAGAGGGCACTGTGGTGCCCCTCGGGGCGGTAGGCGAGGTCACGGGAGTCCCAGCTGGGCCCTCCGTCTGGCAGGATGGAGCCCATGCCTCCAGCCCTCATGGCCTGAGGCAGCAGTTCCCTGAGTCACTATTTAATCCCTGTGAGGACCTGAGAGGTGCGTACAGCTTTCTCTTCATAAATCAAAAAGCAGCGTCTGAGACGGGGTCCCTCATCCAGGACTTGAGGGCAAGGCTGTCTGACCAAGGCCCTTTGTCGTCCCCACACCAGGCAGAACTGACTTGGGTCCCATCTCCAGGGTTAAAGTCCAGAGCCCGGGGGCCCATCTCACCTTCCTCCTGTGGGATTCCGTCAGCCTCAGGGGCTGTCGGGAGCCAACGACGCAGAGTGGGGCTGTCTGCAATGGTCTCGGAATTGGGGTGAGGTAGGAAAAAGGAAAGTGGGTTTATGTGTAGGTGGCCCTGCAGTCAACCTCCTGAACCCTCCAGAGAAAGGCCTTTGGACAAAGCAACCCGCAACCCCCAAACACAGAGGGACTCGGCTCCCCGCCTCCAAGAGCCCTTTGAAGGGGGCTCTGTGTTTGTTCTGAACAAACTGGACCTGTCACTTCCAAAGCGATTCATTCCAGGAAAGAATGGAGAATTCGTTTTCAAACCCGATCACTGCGGTGCTGACCTAGAAAGGACCAGTGAAGCCTGTGGTGAGGGTCGGACCATGTTGGGTGGGGGCGTCCTTCCAACCACACTGTGAGGGGGTGGGGTGCTGGGGGGGTGCGTCCTTCCAGCTGTCTTTGCACAGTCTGTGCTCTGACTGGGCTTTCTATTTTATTTATCCAAATCAAGTTAAAAAATGCTTATTTCAGAAATCAGCCATTTGCTACCACAAATATACTGGGAAATTTTTCGGTGGCATTCATCTCCCCCAGCTGGAGAAGCGACCCTGAACACTGATCAAGGATATGCAGGCTTCTTTTAGAGGTCAGCCTGCAGTTCCGGAGAAGCTTGATTTTGCTCCAGGTTGAGTATGGGGCGTGTGGGGCCGAGGGGAGTAGTTCCTGGTGTGGGGGCAGCAGGTCTGCATGTCTCCCCCTGCCCTCCTGCCCTGTAAGAACACAGATCCTGCACAGGTAAGCGATGAGCTTCAAGTGCCCTGAGGGTCTGTTGTTGTGTTGGAGAAGCAGAAGGACCTGTCCCTCCCTGAGTCAGGGGGTGACAGCAGGTCCCTGGACTCAGGGTGTACTTGAGGGGCCCGGCAAGTTTAGCTCCTTTCCTGGGGGGCAGGTGGGGAGGCGCCCTAAGATCCAGCCTGGCCACGTGCCTGCCCCAGGCCTATGCTCCTGGTCCACGTACAGGTGGCAGAAGCTGTGAGGAAACCTACTTCTCCACCTCTTTTCTGACCCTAAAAGGAGGGCGAGGCCTGGCTCCCGTGTGGGCGTCTGGAGATCTTTTTACTGGCCAAAAACAAACAGGGCTGTAGAAACGCAAAGCTCACTTCATCTCCGATGCGCGGCAGGGACTAGGTCAACCTGGAGAGCGCCCTCCTGCCTCCTTCCGAGGGCGGGCCCCTTGACTCTGTGAACACAAGCCCATCTGGGCCACGGCCTCCCTGCAGAACTGGCTTCACAATCTGTGGCCTTCCTCTCAGCTCTATTCACTGAAGATTGCACAGTGCTCCCCTGGGAGCAGAGGCTGGCTTCTGCCGAACGGGCTGGACAGATGCTGTGTTGAAGAAGCCTGGGACGTGTGTGGGAGTCCTGGGACGACCCCCATAGAAACCAGCGGTGAATACTTTCAGCAAGCATTTCCCATCAAGGGCCCAGCGATCGGTGCCAATGGATGTTGACAAACAGATTGACCTTGTCTGGAAAATCGCTCCCCTTGTTACTGGCAAGGCTGGTGGGGTGCGTCGGTGGTTGCGGGCCTACACTGCCACCTGGCGGTTGGCATGTTCTCTGAGGTCCCGAAATAACTGCAGCTGCTGATGAAAAAGAAACCGCGTTCCCGGAAGGGCCCTTTCCACGGGGAGAATACTCCAGAAATGGCTGAGGATGGATAAGCAAACACTGCTGAAGCTTACCATTCGCTGTGACGTGACGTGAGCAAAGGGCTTTTCCCACACATGCAATCCTTGGCACCAGGTGCCTTGAAGGATGGGATGAAAAAAGATGCGTGACTGAAAAAGTCTGAAACATTTTACTTCATAGTATACATCCTTTTTTTTTTTTTTTTTTGTAAAAAAAGGCAGAAACATTTAGGGAAACATTTGACAAGAAAGAGCCTTGAGCCGGAGGGCCTCAGACATGGGTTTTGAAACGTCTTGCTTTCACAGAGTCTTCTTTACGGCCGCTTGTGTCAAGCTGAAGAGATAAGCCTCATAGATGATATTCAAGAAGTTGTCGTCATTCTGGAAAACAGAATCAGAAGCCCGGAGGGGGTGAGACTTGCAACCAGAGGCTTTGTCTGTCTTGGGGCTGGGCCAGCACCTGGATCCTCAGCTGCTCCTCCCCACCTGTGTGCTCACAGTGCCTGGCTTTTAAGCGCCTGTGTGAACAGGGGGGCTGCAGGCCAGGCTGTGGAGGTTGGGGGAGTGTGAATCAGCTGTGGGTCCTCAGTGGTCAGCTGGGAGATCAGCAGGTGCTCGTGGCCTGCAGTGCGGGGCACCAGGCTTGGGGAAGCACGGAGTGAGGCCGGCTCCAGAGAGGCCTGGTCAGTCGCTGCCTGCAGAGACACGGGGCGTCTGGAGACTGCGCAGGGAGGACAAGACCCATCCGATCCTGCCCGCCTGGCTGAAGTCACTAGTGGCTCCGAAAGGTCCCCCAAGTCGCCCACAAGGGGTGGCTGTTGCTGTTTAGTTGTGTCTGACTCTTTACGAGTCCATGAGCTGGAACCCGCCAGGCTCCTCTGTCCATGGGATTTCCCAGGCAAGAATACTGGAGTGGGTTGCCACTTCCTTCTCCTTGGGATCTTCCTGGCCCAGGGATCAAACTTGGGTCTCCTGCATTGGCAGGAGGGTTCTTTTCCACTGAACCACCATGGAGGCCGGCCTTTGCTGTGGGCGAAGTTAAGACTTCACGGCAATGTGCTTGGTGAAGCCAGAGCCAGTGCACTCCTGCCCTGGCTGGCCCGGTTAGCTGAGGGCTCTGGCTTTGGCTGGTGGGCAGTGGTGAGACCAGGGGCTCTGGGGCTGCTCCGGGGGCCGAGGGACCCATGGAGGTTTTCTCTGTTTCTGATGCTGGAGACTCCCTCCTACCTGGCTCTGTGGTGCTGTGGTGATCCACCCACAGCTCACACGCCCACTCACTCCCAGGGGGTCACGGGGGAGCAGCTGGTGCAGAGGACAAACGTGTGACCTCTAACTAGCAAGGCCCGGGGAAGGGGCCGCTGCAGCCCCTGTGTCTGGGGCCGCAGTGTCTCTGCCCTCGCACAGAGAACTTTGGACAGTGTTATTAGATGGAATAAGTGCCTGTACATTCACATTTAAGGGGTTTTTGTCTATTGCTCACAGAAGTGTATAGATGTCATCCCCAAGTCTTCATGAACTTACCACGAGCAGCTCCTGGAAAAGGAGGGGGATCCCCTTCCTGTGAATCAGGGAGGTGCAGGCATCTCCCGTCTGCTCAGCTTTCCTGGCTTTCACGCTCAGCTGCTTCCTGGCTCCTTCCTCTCCTTTCTAAAATGCGTTACCTTCAAACTAAACAGTCTGACTAGAGGAGACTTCCATCTTTTTGAGCCAGACTAGAGAGCACAGAAGTGCTAACCGCTCTCTCAAGTTCTCCTGATACTCAAGCAAAATAACTCGAAAATCTTTTTACCCCAAAAGACTATTTACCCAAAAGACCCCTGAACATGAGAGCTGAGCTGCCTGGGTCTGCCGGCAAATGCCTGCTCTTTTCAGGGCCTGCCCCGAGTCCTGAGGTATGCTCTGTCTGGGCCGCCCAGCCACCTCGTGGCTGGTCCATGGGGTGGGCAGAGGTGCTGGACAGTGAGGCTGCGGACCCAGCTCTGCTCTTTGCTGGCAGGTGCCCTCAGGCCTGTCCCTCAGCCTCCATCTCCTGGTCTCGGAGGCCCAGCCTGGCACAGCTCTGTGCAAGCGTCCTTGTTCTCGTTATTTCACAGGCATGAGTGTGCACAGGAAGTCATCCCACCCCATCCTCACTGCAGTCTTCAAGGATCTCTGTAAAACACGCCTGGGCTGTCACAGCCGCTTCTGCTGTCCCCGCTGCCCCCTCCCCAGGGCTCAGGGCAGCCTCTCTCCAACTCCTGCTGGTTCCCAACACCCCCAGACCAAGGACCCTCCCAGTGGCTGCAGGATCAACTGGCGCCTGCCTCCTCCTTTCCTGCACTGGAGGACTGAGTCCCTCCTCCAAGGACAGCACCTGGAAGAGTGGACAGACACATCCACCTGGAAGCGCTGAGCTGCTGCACCACCCTCTGGTTCCTGGGGAGCAGGAAGTGGGCAGGGCTCCCTGAGGGTCTCAGGTGAGGCCGAGGAGGGGGCGGTGCCCGCCTACCTGGATGAGGTGCAGCAGGGCCTCCTGGAGCTGCGGCTTGCTCAGGGCGCTGCCGGGGGTCCCCGGGGGCTCGGGAGTCCGCAGGGGCAGGAGGAGGCCAGTGGGGATGGCAGCAGGGTCCTGGTTTCCTGGGGGTAAGGGCGCACGGCTCCTCTCCTGCAGCGGGGCCCAGCTGGGCTGCGCAAACACCAGGGGCGACATGAGTGGAGATGGGGTCGCGGCGGCCGGGATGCGCTGGGGCGAGAGGACCTGCCGGGGGAGACAGAGACAGGTGGGCAGGTGAGGGCGGCTGGCGCACTTGGAGGGTGCGGACAGTGAGGTGGACACAGCAGCTTCCAAGGTTAACCGTCCACAGCTCCGAGCGTCAGGGCAGCCCACAGGAGGCAGGCTCCACCTGCATGTCCACCTCCCTGCCACCCCACCCCGGGTACCCATTGGCCTGGCATTTGCTGTCGTGACCACGGTCCCCTCAGCAGGAAGGTTCGTCCTCTGAGTAGCACCTCACTTCCCCACTTCCAGTCACCACTTGATGGCATCTAGGACCTGGCCTTTCCCTTGGGGCTGGCCGTCCATGCCCCTGCCTGTTGGGGCCCATCTTCCCACTGTGAGGGAACCACCTCGTTCCTTGCCTGGAGTGGGCAGGATGGGCAGGGTCACAGGGTCACATCTTCACCCTCCACCTCCTGATTCTCTGCATTCGGGTCCAGGGCCGGGGGGAGTGCAGCAACCTCCTGCAGGCTACTCCTGCAGGCCCTGCAAGTGACCTGTCTGCCTGCCTCTCTTGGCTACCAGACCTAAAACCAGGTTTTGCGGTAGTGTCTTCTGGCCCCTCAGGAGCTGCTGTGACCTCAGTCACTCTCTCGGCACCGTTCTCGGCAGAAAGCAGGCGGAAGGGGCGGGTGGTTTGTGTAACTGTCCCCGGTTGTCTTTTGAAGCAACGGCTAGTAGAGCACAGGCCCTGGGGCCCGTGAGCACGGAAGGGGGACGTGCCCGTGAGGGTGACCACCAACCATTACCTCCAGCTTCCTAGTGTCTGGTCTGAATCCTCGGGGACAAGCAGAGAAGGGGGGCACGGTCACTCTGGGGCGAGGATGTGGGTGGGGAGCAGCCACTGTCTCAGGATGGCAGGTGCTCAGAGGTGAGATTTCCATCAACAGCCAACAAGAGAACTTTGACCCACAGTCTGACAAACATGAAGACTGTGCTCCATGCCTGCTGCCTTGGTTCCTAAAGGTGAACGATTCTGGGGTCCTGCTGTAAGCCGCTTGCCGAAATAGGATGGAAGGACCAACGAGGACACACATAATACATAGCAAGAACTTCCTAAACTTGAAGTTCTTGAGGCACTGTCAATGAATCTGTACAAATCCAAATGGAAAAAGACCCTCAGATCTCCAGATGCTGCCCGCGCATGGGCAGTGAAGAAATGGATGAGCTTTCAGCTTTCTCACTGTCCTGAGTTATTAGTGACCACAGAGAACCAGCTTCCCTGGAGGACGGAGCATTTCTAAGAATGACGTTTCCTCTCGGGCAGTCAGTGTGCACGTCGTGGGCGGGGGCAGGGAGCAGCTTCTGCCTTCTCCTGACCCTCATTAAGCTACGCCTGCAGAGACAGGCAGGGAGGCTACGCCTTCCAGGGTCGGTGACCTGCTTTCCAGCGGACGTCAAGAGCCCACGGGCTGCGGCATCCACAGGGACAGGGCTCCTGGCTCACCTCCATGCAGCACGTGCAGAGGGGCCTGGCCTGCAGCCAGTGCCCAGAAGCATGTACTGGATCATGAACACACAACAGTTTACTGTGGGTGACATAACCAGTGGGGGGCCAGAGATCTGACATCCTGAACAATTTCAGAAACTAAGTTTCCAACCACAGAGATCTAGGGTTTTCTTGTATCCATGTCAGACCTGGAAACAAGAAGACTTCTCTCTGGGAATGAAGTGTGTTTGAAAGGAGGGCTCCCAGACCGCTGGGCAGAGAGCAGACCCCTTCCTGGCAGGAGGTGGAGGCAGACGCCGTGGCCTGCATGGACCCTGCCCCGTGCTCCCCAGCAGGAGGACACTCACCTGAAGGAGGGGAGCCGGCTGCTCTGTGCTGGGGGCTGGGTCCCTCCAGGGCTCCAGGGGGTTCCGCGCTCGGGTGCTTGGGGTGGCCGCGGGGAACTTGGCCGCCAGGGCCGGGCGGCCGGGCACAGGCAGCTGCTGGTCCTGCTGTACCGCCTGGAGCCTCCGCAGCAGCTCCCGTGGGGAGACCTCGCCTGGCCCCACTGGCTGATGGCCAGGGCTGGGGCCAGGGGGTGCCGGTCTGGGGAGGGCCCGGGGCCCTGGAGTCTGGGGCGGGAGGGCACTGCTGAGACAGGTGGGCTGGGCCGGGGCCGCGTGGGTGGTGGCCGAGCTGGCAGGTGCTGGCGCCCCGGGCTCACACCTGTTCTCGGCCCCGGGGATGCTCTGCAGCGGGAGCGGGTTCTGAGTCCCGGGGGCTGCGAGTGCGCGGCTGCAGGGAGACCCTGTCCGGGCAGGCCCAGCGCAGGCTGTCCTGAGGGCGTCTGTGCAGGGCCGGTTCTCTGGCAGCTCTGCCAGCGGCTGTAGGTCCACGCTCCTGATCATGAGCTTTTGAATGGCAGGGCAAAGCTGCTTGTCGACGGGGGGCGAGGGTCTCCGGGGCTCCTCATAGGATAGGGATCGGACGACCCCCTGCCGCGTTGGGAGCGTCTCTGGCTGCTGCTGCTGCAGGGGGAGGGTC